GGCAGAACCCGAAAATTTAGCCTGGTAATTATCTACGCCACTGGGTTCAATTTGCCCCGCCGCCCCCAACTCCAGAGTCGCTAAAGATTATTATAAGAAAACTGCCGTCCGCTTCTAATGGCTTTCCTCTCCTCGGCCTCCCCGCCGTTTCGGCCCTGGGAGGCCTCACATGAGTTTTTATCTTTGTTTAACCAGTGGAGATATACTAATAAGGATTTTTTCCGTTGCTCTGTCCAGGACGACGCTTAAGGACAGCGATACTGGACAGGCTGGCAGAACGAGGGCTTGAGTTGGCTGATTTTTTAACGTAGGGACTCCAAATGTAGGCTTGGGTCACTCAGTGAGTTTTTGGGGGTTGGCGCAGTGTTGCGCAATTGGCTTGGTGCGCCAATGCAACGCCAGAATTTTCCAGTTTTGGCCCAGTTAAGTTTTCTTCTAGTTTCACTTGAAAATGCGGACAATCTTAAGGTATTTTTTGCGAAAAATTATGAATAAGTTTCGAATCCTTCGTCGCTTTGTGAACAGTTTTGGAATCCCTTTGCAGCTTCGAATTGGGAACAAAAATTTAACTATTTTCTAGCAAAACGCGAGCAGAAAATGCGAAAGTTTGTAATAAATTATTTGGAGAACTTCCATGCCTCCGAAGACCGTGGAATTTGTTGAAAAACTGTGGTTTTTTAGTTTCGACTGAATTTTTTTCCTTGACTTTCTACTCAAAAACGCTCTATTTTGTAGAGTTTTGGGTCCAAAAACTTGGCTATTTGTCAAATAGGCGACGTGATTTGTTTTTTATGACTCGCGTGACTTGATCCTATTTGAAAGTTTCTTCTGGAAATTGGGGGCTGACAGGACGCGATTTTTCCTAAAATTTAGCTGATTTCAATTTTTTCAATGAATGACAACTTTTGATTAAGAAAAAAGGGAATTTCTGAAAATTTCAGAACCTTGGCAACCAACGGGTCTCATCTCTATGCTTCCTGCTTTACTGCCCATATTAATGTACTCTTATCCTTCCTGGGTCTCAGTCAAAGTGTGAAGTAAACATTCGAATATCGTTGATTTCATTACGTTTCGGCGCCATCATCATATTTAAAATTTACACAAACTCATAATTGGTAAACATTACGTTCTTTTAGGTTTTTGCCTTCTTGAAACCTTCAATTTGTCTCTCGAAAGACAAATCTAAGGTTTTAAAATCTTGAAACATCGTTGATTTCATTAGGTTTCGGCGAGACAACAGCGCCATCATCAGATTTAAAATTTACACAAACTCATAAGTATGTAGAAATGTAATGAAATCAACGATATTCAAACATAGAATAAGAATATAATTACAATTACACGCAGTCAGGAAAATAAATCAAAATGCGCATGTTAAACCAGTTCGGACTTATTGGGACACCCGGTACATTCACCCACTTTCACCTGGTGGTGATCGACTGGCCCTCAATTGCAAATTCCTGCAGGAAACCCGATGAAATTCCAAACTAGAACCGGCAAAGAGAAAAAAAAGCGCAAACACGCGTTGTTTCGTATAATCAAAACCGGGCGTAAAAAACGCCATCTAAGGGTCCATAAGGGCATATATGATCGCGAAATTAAGGACAAAAGGGCCAGAAGAAAGTTTTTACGGCCGAAGGGCTCCTCCTGAGGGACGAATCGGGACGTCGCAGGAGCGGCTAAAATTGCGAAAAAGTCCCCCGGCCAATATTAAGGCTGGAATTAGAAGTTCCCGGGGCCGGAAATGCAGCCGGTTTTTTTTTGTTTTGGGCGCATTACCAGCCAACCCTACCGATTACCGCAATTAGGGCGCAGCAAAAAACTGCGCATAAATTAAACTGGGTGAAAAAAATCCCTTTGGGCCTTTGTTCGGCATTTTCTCCGGGTAATAAGGGCATTGTTCTTACACGTGTTTGGGCTGGTTGGAATGGTTTTTTTGCTACATAAATTAAAGCGCGCGCTCATTGGCCCAGTTGAGCGATAGGGGTTTGAAACCCTGCGGCTTTTTACGCTTTAAACGGGCCTCTAGTTCTACCAGACTTAGAGCTAGTGATTGGGGCAATTCACTCACCAGTAATGGAATCGTGGACATTTTTCACTGCAGAACAACTAGAAGAATCTGCACGGCTAGACGGGCTTGGAACAACTGAAAGGTGCAAACCTGGGCCCATCTTTACCCCATTTCCATCCCTTACCTAGCCAACAACAAGCTGGCCAAAAAAATCCGATCGAACTATTATCGATTACCCCTCGACGATGTTCAACAATGCAATTCCGTTCGAAATCCTATTCATAAAAAAGTTACCCTCCAGTTTTTTGCACCCTCGGAATCGCGACCCCACAGATCCTTCACCCCCCGGGTTCGGTTATTTTTTTGCGCCCTTAACTTGCGGTGGGTTAGATTACCGATTCAGTGGCGCGACTATGCAAAAAATCCTCCGACAACGCTGCAAGTCTGCAAATCTCCGGCTAAGAAGATGCAACATTGACTTGACAAGCTCAGAACAGTGTTCTGCTTCCTCAAGGCCCCAAATCGTGTGGATGGCGAAAGTGAGCAGGTCTTTTTGAGGACAAAATCCTGATGACTGCGCCACTGGCCACGCCGTGGCCAATCAAATTATTCAGGCCCTAAAAAAATGTATATCTATATATACTTATATGGGGAAAAAATCGTATTAATTCCCGACGATATTTCTGGACCACACCGGCATTACGCCTGTAATCCCTGGGACTTTTGTTGTCCGAATTTTTTTTCCTTCGCTGCCGGTCATTCAGCACTAAACGGTCACTAATGCGATTGTTATGCGTCAGTTGGTCTTTTTTCTTCCACATTTGCCCATCATGGTCGCTGTTGAGCTTCAACTGTTTCAAGCAACAACCGGTTTGGTTCCTTTCTGAACCCAATTGAAGGAGGTTTGGGGTGTTTTTGTAAGACGAGCAATCGGGTCTTGTGAAATGTTTTTTTTTTCAGTTGATAAAATCAGTTTTACAAGCGAGTTTTCGAGTACATCGGTGCCGGTGATGGTAAACTAAAAATTGCTCTCATGAAACACCAATCGTAATTTTAATCAAAGCGTTATGGTTTTTCTTGGAGAACCGCCCACTTTTTGGGAACATTTTGCGGCTTTTTCCCTAGAGTAAACTTTTCCAAATTTGCTTCGCACGGTTTGAAAATGACATTTTTTTCTGCCTGAAACCTGATTAAAAATGCCCAAATTATGTAGGACAGAGACACTGTTGGTCGGCCAAAAAACCGAAACCGAAAAAAATGAAAAATTTCCAAAGCTGCTAATTTTTCATTTGTTGTTCCTAAATCAGTGTCGTGCTTGAAAGAATCTGGAGAACAATCGCGTTAAAGATTGGCTAGTGTCGATGTTGTGCCGAGCCCTTCGGGAACGACACTGCTTGAAAAACAGCCAACTTCAAAGCTGGCAAATAAACAAAAAAATCATTCATAATCGGCATTTTGACAGTAAACTTTTAATAATTGAAAAAAATGACAAGTAGCAACTTTGACATATTCGAAACTAGTGGGTTTTTCGGGTTTTTAGGCCGTCGTACAATAGAATTTCTTCCTGTTCCGTTTCAAACGTCATGAAGAAATTCTATTGTACGCCGGCCTAAAAACCCGAAAAACTCTAGTTTGAAGGAATGACCTCGAAAATCGCTTTTGACATATTCGCAGAAAAACTTAACTATTTGCTTTTAATCAAAAAAACGCTTCAATTTGACGAAAAATGTGCACATTTGCAACCAAATTTGACTGTAGGTAGACGATTGTCGTCACTGGGCATCTTGCGCAGTGAAGTCGGATTGTGCAACGGTAATATAAATTTGGGGAAAAATTTCGGGGGAAAATCGGGCAGTTGTGGTTCATCGTCCTCCCTAAAGAAGTTGAGGGCTTTTAAAATTCACGCATGAACGACATCGACAAAAAGTAGCATGCAGTGAGCTTTTAAAATTTTCCCATTCGACAGGGAATCGGGATAAAAAGGGGCTGTTTTCTGATTTTGTGTGGGGTGCGATCGAGGGGCTATTAAAACTGGAATTTCTACGGAGACTCCTTTTCTACCAATTTGAAAAATGTTTTCTCTCATATCAGCTTACTGAAAAAAATGACTTCTAATAACTGCCACGGAATGTAGATCGTATTTTTTCGCCCCCCTTAACAAGGCCACCCTCGCATTTTTTCACCCCTGCCAAGTCGCCCAGCTCGGTTTTCAACGACTTGGCATCAGGCTTAAAACGAAAAAATCACTATTTAACTGTCTTGAGGCCCAAGTTGGAGGAAATCTTCATTCGCTTTCGTATTTATTTAGTGAATGTATGCGCTAGTTAATAGCGGGCGGACGAAAATTGCAAATACTGCAAAAAGTTTTTTGGCAAAAGTGTGGTTCCGCCCGGGATCGAACCGGGGACCTTCTGCGTGTAAAGCAGACGTGATAACCGCTACACTACGGAACCAGACGCGGAGGTTGCTGAATCAACCCGGTAGATTTAGAGAATGTGTGCTAATTACTCTAGAACAATTGTCATGCCACTTGTCAATATAATTTCCCTGTCAAATTCGAATCACCGTGATCGATTGATTGATTAATAAACAAATCAAGTGACTTTACCGGCGTGCTGCGCTATTCAATGAATAAAACCCAGCGAACATCGTGCGCTCGACATTTAATACAAAATCCTAGAAAGTCGGGAAATAGTAAAATTTATCGCTCGTACGATTCCATGCCGCTCTTCAAAAATCACTTTTCGATTCCATTTATGGCCGCATAAAACCGCACTTTTATCCTTTATTTTCGCATAAAACGGAAATCACTGGCAACCGAAAAACTAAGCGGGTTGCAGTATTGCTGCTGCCCTCTTTGGCCCCGTGATCCAAGTGCAGTAGCCGTAAAGGTCTGCCAATACCAGCTCTCTTCAATATACCAATAAGCCTCTGAGCGATGTTGCCATAAGTCCATCCGCAATTTTCCTCATGAAAATTCATTCGTGAACATAACCAATAAATGTCATCATTGAGTTGTTTACAACAAGTGGAGGATAGTTTGGGGCGTTCTAAGGCAAAATGAATATTTTACCGAAAAAAAGATGGCATGTGCGAACAAGGGAAAACATAGCGAGAGTGCGGAGAGACGAGGCGAAAGCCAAAGAGGAGGAAACTGCTAAAGAGGAGCGAGTAAAGCTTGCGGTAAGTACCAAAACATTGCCTTTGCCTGAGTGGAAAGCAAGGGCGGACCCAAGGGGGTCATGGGAGTCATGACCCCCCCTATTCAATTCTCTATCCAACGATGCCAAAACGAATTCTGTGGCTCGAATGGTTCTTGAGAAATTTCGCAAAAAGCAGCGTCATGTTCAAGTGGATTTTGCAACTCAAAAAAAAACCACGCAAACCTAAAACTTCTTGAATTCAAGCATTTTTTGAGAAAACTGGATCCGCCCCTGCGTAAACCTTTAGCGATTAAAGGGTTCAAAGGGGTGTTTTCGTCCATACAGGAGAAAGAGGCCAGACGTCAGTTGTTGCTACAAAAGTCCCGAGGTGAATTTCAAACGACATCCTTCGTTCCGCTTGACTCTAGTGAAAAACCCTGCCAATCGGGGCATGTGAACTTTTTCGAAGATCTGGAAGAGGGCCGAGCTGAACTGAAGCAAACGAATAAGGAGCGTGAGAAGGAGGTGAAAGACGAAAAGGAGAAATACGAGAAGCAGATTGGCTACTTGACGTACTTGGGGCAGGACACCAATGAAGCCTTGGGGAAGAAGAGTTGGTATGAACAACCCCCCAATAGAGCCCAAGATATAAAGGAAGTGAGCCTGAAAAGTAAACTGAGAGAGGATCCTTTGGTGTTGATGAAAAAAATCGGCGAACAGCACAAGAAAGCTCGGGCAGCAGTCGTGGAGGCTCGACGCTATTCAGAGCTGCGAAAGGAGTTCTTTGAGGATGTGAGCAGGCAAAGCAAAAAAAGGAAAATTCCGGAAGACATCGTGTCCCCCTGTGCGGACAAGGAGGCGGAGAAGCAGAGAAAACTGGAGGCTCTAAGAGCGGAGAGGCTGCGGCGGGAGAAGGAGGAGCGGCGAAGGAGCGAGGAGTTGCTGGCTAAAGTGATAGGAGGCGACGAGAAAAAGCAGCCTCCTAAGGAGAGCACGAGGCGATACAATGCCCAGTTCAATCCCGAGCTGGCCAAGCAGAATTACAGCAGGCGCTGATACATTTGCAATATTAGTATATGCGGTTTTTGATTTGATAAGGCCGCTGAAATGGTTCGAGTAACACATTGATTTCTAATAAAATACGTTTATTATGGAACGATATACAAAGCGTTAATGGCTGTATTTTACAAACTCTCGAACACTATGGGCGGTTAAACATTGACGTTAGTGATCGGGAACTGCTTTCTTAATCGAGTCTTTCCCTCACTAGTTAAGGTGTCTATTTATATACAAACGAACGAACAAAAAATGTTAAGTAATGAACAAAGAAGCATTTTGGTTAGACTATTGGCAAGCGCTTAGAGCTCATCGAATTTCCTCAAAGCCAACTCGAGCTTGTCCTCCAACTCGGCCACTCGCCTCTTCAAGCTCTTCAGCTGGTGGCCCTGGCGCTCTTCCACCTCAGTGTTGCGTCTGCTGCGCGCATTCAGGCGACTGATGGTGTTCAGCTGTCCGGTATATCTAAAAAACTGTACTTAGTGTACAATCCTTTGGGCTGTACAACGCTGTAGATGTGTGACTTGCCGGCAATCCGAGCAGCACTCGCTCCAGAGGCGCAAATCCACCTTGGGGATTTCGTCGCAACTCCTCAATCCGTCTTGGAGTTCGGGCAAGGTGAAGACATCGGAGGTGATGCGAGTGATGTTGTCGCCATTGTCGCATAAGACTCTGGCCAGAGAATATTGCTTGATTTGCACCAGTTGCTCCGGTTTGAATACCGATGGGTGTTCGTACCTGGTTGCGGAAAATCGGTTGGTTTAGTTCGACATTTTGCCTTCAATGGACGGATAATATACAGGGCAGTGTTGCAGTTTTTATTTAAAAAATCACTGATTTATCAGACTTTGACGGCTTTCCCGCCCGGTTAAATTACATTTAGGAATGTTTTCCGGGCTTTGAAGCCGTGGTCTATCGGAATTTCTTACTGACGTTTCGTCCACAACTGCGGTGGACATTATCAAAGGCGATGAGGCAGTGGGCGAAGTGATCTCCCGTGCTTTCCGACTAAGACTGGTTCAACT